CGCCGGCAACCGCTCAAGGATTTCGTAGTCCATGGTAATGAGAGCGACGCCAGTGCCGTTGCTCGGTGCGATGAAGACGAGGTTGGCCAACTGCTGAGCCACATCGACAGACGAACCACGGAGCACGACCGACGACAAGACGCTGCCGTCCGCAGAGCCAAGCAAGCCCTCCGAGACGGAGATCGTGGTTGTCATCTTGGGTGCGGCCACACGTGGAAGCAACAAGGGCAAGTCGGTCCAGCGACCATCCCACATGGCAGAAACCTCGCGCGGGTAGTGCAACGTGTACGTCGACGCCGTGGCCGACGGCGCGTCAAGGACAAGATCGACCTTGGACGTGATAGCGGCGACACCGGCAGCAGCAGACGGCGCGTGGTACACAACACGGCGCAGCGCGCGTTTCAACTGCGCCACCGTACTCTTCAGGACAAGCCGCTTGGACGGTTCGCCATTGACGCCGTCGAACAATGCGACGTCGCTGGAGGACGCCTCGAGAGAGAGGGTACCTTCTTTGGTGGCGAGTGCAACCTGGGCAATGGCGGCGTCGACGTAGCGAAGCGCGATCGGGAGACCGACCCACGCACCCTGCCACATCGACTCGGACTGCGCCGGGTAGTGCAACGAGTACACAGCGGTCCGTGCTTCAGCCACGGGTGCTGTAGCCGCGAGCGGTGACTTGGCAGGAACCCAGAGACCCTTGCCAAAGGTGCCAGCCGCATGCGCTGGGCTCTTGGACGACGGCGTGTACGTCTTGGTGACATCGAACGACGGCGCAGCGACGGTTTGGACCGTGATGGGCCCAGCGAGCGGCGTCGCGTCAACGTCAGCACCACCGGTGTGCACCCAGAGCTTGGCGGTCGCGGGACTCGCGACCTTTGGCGCGGCGCGGGCGACGGCGTCGACGGGAGTGCTCAACTGGACGGGCTCAAGTGGCGCCGCAGCGATCTTCATCGGCGCATCCATTGTCTCGGCCATGGTCGTGAGCTTCATTTCGATGACCGTAGCACCGGTGGCAGCAGCTGGCGCGTGGAAGACGACGGTGCGGAGTTGACGCGCAAGTTCAGCGGGCGACCCCTGCAACAGCAACGACTCTGTCTTTTCTTCGTTCTGTGCCAGTGACAAGGCGCCTTCCGAGACGGCAACCGAGAGCGCTACGACCGCCGCCGTGGTGCGCGGAAGCTGCAGCGGCAAGTTGGACCACTGGCCCTTCCACATGGGCGACACCACGAGCGGGTAGTGCAGCGTCACGGTGGACGTCGGCGTAGGGGCGTCGGCGACCAAAACATGGTCGACGTCGATCGTCGCGACACCGGCGTCGGTCGTCGGTGCTCGGTACACGACACTACGCAGCGCCGTCTGGAGCGCCGTCACGGGACCGCGCAACACCATGCGGGGCGACGCACGGTTCTTGGCACCGTCGACAAACGTCACGGCATCGCCAACCGTGTCCAGACGGAGGGTTCCGGACAGCGTCGCAAGCGTCACTTGAACGATGGCGTTAGTGTCATATCGCAGCGGCACGTTGAGACCGGGCCAAGCGCCAGACCACATGGACGTTGCCGTCGACTGCGCCGGGTAGTGCATGCAGACAACAAACGACGGTGACTTGGTCACCGTCTTGGGCGATGACGACCACGTCGCCGTGATCGATACAACGCCGGCGTCCTTGCTTGGGGCCACAAATGCAACGTGACGGAGAGCGGGCACGAGGGACGAGGCGTCAGCTTCGAGCACGATCTTGGCTGCTGGGACACACACCTTGCCTTCAACAACGTTGACATCCGTCGCCGGCAGGACAAGAAGCCCGGTTGACACGGTAAGCGACACTTGGGCAACGACTTCGTCGCCCCAGCGCTTGGCCATCAAAGGCAGTTGGCTCCAGAAGCCTGACCACATGGACGTCGCGGTCGACTGTGCCGGGTAGTACAGCGTGTAGACCGCAGTGTTTGCATCCACAGCCGGCACCTCGATCGGAGCCGCCTTCTCAACGACCACTGGGGCTGCCTTCTCGACGACCGCCGGAGCTGCCGCCGCCACCGGTGACTTGGTCGGCACCCAGAGACCCTTGCCGAACGCACCGCCTGCATGCGACGGACTCTTGCTCGACACTGACGACGGCGTGTACGTCTTGGTCACGTCAAACGACGGCGCCGCGACGCCGTGCACCGTCACAGGACCCAC